GGGGGGCCTATGCAGGACAAAAACGTCACTAAATTGGGAACGTATATTGTTAGTTTTAGTTTTAGTAGAGGTTTAACGGCGCTCGCAAATGCATAAGGTCGTATGAGCACCAATCCTCGTGTGTTGATAGTTCTTCCTCTAATGGAAAGCATTCCCGGTAAAAGAGGCCTGTTTTCGGCAATTCCCGAGAAGTAATAATATGATGACGTCGAACTTCGAAGTCGCACCATACAAGGAATGTGCGCGAACCGCTGCCAGCGGCTCACCGGCATAGCGATTCCGACCGCGAGCCGCGGCTTGCCGGAGATAGAGGTAAGCCATCGTTTCAAATGGAACGATTTTTTGTAGAGAATGGAAAAAAGTTAAGCAACAATTAGGCCTACATGACGACAAAACGCAACAAATTCCATTTTCGAAGTTAGATTCTTTAAAAATAGTAACATCACATCTGGCAGGGTGAAACAATAAAAATATATACAAAACAACTTCCTAAATAAATAATTTAAAAGGAACTGCGGCAAGTGGTTCCTTTTAAAATTAAAATAAAACTTAACAAAAGCGGTCCTGACAAATCACAATATTCACAACCTCTGCCCGCCAATCAAGTTCTTTCCTCAAGTCACATGACTTCGCTTGTGCTGGCTAGAAATTTATTAGCAATTTTTTCTGTTCCTGATTTATTCTGGATCATATAATGTTTCAATGTTGCCCATGTTTAAAGGTTGTGTCCTTCTCAGTTGAAAGAGAATTTAATTTGGTCCTGAAAAAAGTGCCATTCAGATGAAATCCCAAAATTTAAACTCAACCGCTGGTCAGGCCCTTCGTGGTTAGCATTATTGGGGATGCGCACCAAGCTAGCAAGTCACCTTTGACACGCTGGCACTACTCTCCGTGAAGGAAGCCTCGGTATTTTGGGCTCATCGCTGTGGATTATTTTTTGTCTACATGTTCCCCTGCCTAACATTACCGAAGCTGATTCGATGTATAAAACTTTTATATTTTGCTTGCATGAATTACTTGTGTTACAATACTGTTACTCACTGACATAGTGACATTATCACAGCACATCGCCCCCCCC